CATACCTTAATTAAAAAATATTTTTTTGCTAATATCTGACCCTTCGGGGAGTTGTAACTGCTGATCATACATCACAATAACAAATATAATAGTAATAATGAAAAAGTTTGAAGTATTACAAGAATTATCAAAATGTGATACAGGGACATGAAGTGAGCAAATGCTGTTGGAAAAATGGTACCAACAGACTTGCTCGATGCAGGGTGGCCACAAACCTTCAATTTGGAATAAATGCAATAGGCATCTGTGAAGCACAATAGAGTGAATCACAATAAAAAGAGGTATGCCTGTATTATTATTTAATAAACATAAATTCTGTGAATGGATAATGTATATTAATGTTTTTACCTATTTCACGACTCCATAACTTGAATAGTGTACATGTTGTGGGTAAGCCCACCATGAAGGCACTGTTGTCACTCTCATCACAAATAGTCAAATAGAAAAGTTAGTGTCTGAAGGAAGTTATACCTTTCAAATTCATTCCTATTTCCAAGATAGAAAGAATTATTCCAATATGAAGAAGGAAGAGTTGTTTACTCAATGTGACAAAATATAAACATTATTTCTAGAATATTCTACATGTTAATTCAGGTTATTCAGTTGAACTTAGATGTTAGTCACTCCTCCTATGAGTCATCATTTACCGCCTGCACTCAGGGATGGCCGAGTCCCACTGCCAGCATCTTTGGTCACACATAAAGGCCTCTGTCATTTTCCTTAAATATCTTTGCTTTTGTGTCATCTTGTCAAGGCACCCACATACCTCTGAACTTAGTGAACATAAGAAGGCTTGACATGAACATAAAACTTTTTCTCTCTTTGATCTAATTCCCCAGACAACAAGTTTTCCCCCTATCTTTCAGCCAGTCCAGCAGCTAGGGAACTTACTTTAGGGTGCTGGTTTTTGTTGATATTAAGCACAAGTGACAGTCATCTTTGCCTATAAGTAGTCATCACACATATGACCCCACAGGGCTTTGTAATCCATCTTTCCTCACTGTTTCATTGTCTTGGGCAGAGAAACTTGTAAAACATTCCTAGCTGGTAGCACTCCCCACTTATCAAAGAATATTTCATTTTGAGAGAAATATAGTTAACCACCACCTTAGTGCCGAACATTAGCAACCTTTCTAATTGGCAGAAAACTGTCTTGTCCCTCCCTTCCTCATTATCCCCTCAGCTCCCTACTGCCCCTATCTACTAAGAATCCACACTTTAGTTCTGCTTCAAGCTCTGCTTCATGCTCTCCCTTGGCATAACTCCATTTATTACCATTTAAATCATTCCCACTTCAGCAGCATGCCCCCAGACACTTCCCATACATAGAATTTTCTCTTTTCTTTCTTAGCAAAACACTCTTGTCCTAGTTTGTATGTTCTCCAGGCCACATTCCATGCTACTCTGGGAAATGATCATTTGCTAATATGTTAATATGTATGAAGAATATATCCTGTCCCATCTACATGATAAATTAACATTGGGATTAAAATTACCCAAAGGAGAACTCCTAATGTGGGAAAATTTCAGGTAAACTTGTATTTAGACAATATTTTCAGACAGGTGGCTGTGTCTTGGAGTGTTCTTCAAATCCCTTAAGCTTTTGCTGATGCATTAGAAGTAACACACAGTACCTTACCCAGGGCTGATGGTCTGTGATGCAAACAAATAACCAACATGTTTTATGTTTCTCTGGTCTCCTTTCCCTTTCCAGGTACTAGTCACTGTAGTTTACTACACAGTATTTAGACAGGTTAGAGAGAGAAGAATCAAGTAAATCAAGTAGAGTTTGGCAAAAGGTTTCTCCTTGGAAACAGAACTGGGAGAAGCAGATGGTGAATGTCACACTGGGTCAGCTGCAATGGATGGACACCAGGGGGGAGCCTCAATGGGCTGTGTGTTGTCCACCTTGGGCATTAGGCAGTGCTACAGATCTGACTTAGGCCGCTCTTGTGAGTAGCAGCCACTGAACACTGTTAATGTTTTGATGAAAAGAGCTGTGTGGATTGTTTTTGATCTGCATATTAACAAAGAAGAGAAAGACAGCCAGGTTCTTTCTTAGAAGCAGCAAGAAAGACATTTTCCCCTGAAAATGTGCAACTGCTGGATAACACAGACACACACACAGACACAGACACCCTCCCCACAAATGAAAAACCCTTTCATCCAGAATCTGTGCTTTGCTTTCTTTTATTCCTTAGTATATATGTGAATGTGTGAAAATGCACAACACTCAGACGTGCAGCCCGATTGAGTGAAATCTCTTATAATGTGCATCTATTTAAAGCAACAAAACAGATGGAGGGTTTATGAGCAAGGCTGGTAAAAGTAAAACCAAATGATTGTAATAGTTGTACTTTTAATAGGATTCCCCGCAATCTAAAACATTATCCCCCAAGGAACAAATTGTTCTATAAAATTATGTTACTTAGGAAACAGACAGTCTGCCCTGACTTTGCAGAGGGAACAGAGGACTTCAGGACGGCCTTCTACTGCAGTGAGCTCTCAAGTCAGATCACTGTCCAGGGAAAGACAGTACAGGGATGTCAGGCACTATGATCCCCAAAGACAAAGCTCACTGGGATAGGGTAAAAGGCAGAAAGATGAAAGAGAGACAGAGGGTATGAAATATGTCTGAGCTTTGATTGAATTTATTACCTTCTAATTCTCTACTTTAAAAAACAAGGTTTGGGAAATTCCAACTGATTTAAGATAGGCATGCAACTTTGCTTCCTCTTGTACCAATTCAGACCAAAGTCTAGCTCTAGCATAGCAAATGCTGCTTAACAAACAGTGAAACTGTAAACAACCCAACATTAGTTCATTAAGATTATCCTTTTTTAAAAGAAACAAAACTCGCTATAATTCTACCATTAAGATGAATATACCACAGTGATGACCTTTATGTAAATCATAATTAAAGCTAATCTTACTTAAAGTTATTACCCCATTTTGGTTGAAAATAAACAACTCAGAGAGAAGGAAACAATGTGGTCAATAACTCACTCCACAAATATTTTTTGCCTCCAAAGCTCACATTGAGGGAGACATTCCTGCACATGATACAAATGGTTCTGACATTAAGAAAAGTAAACAAGTAAGAAAAATAAAGATGGAAAAATTCTGTGGTCAGTTCACAAGTGCTTTTTTATTGTTTGAGGCAGGGTTAAAGCCTTTTATAAAGACAAGGATATATGTGCCGCTAGATTGGATGTGACATTGGACTAGTCTAGCTGCCCTTGCACAGTAATCTGGGTGCCCATAATATGCCGTGGACAAAACATGTGTTGGTGCTTCTAAACAAAGAACCAGGGTGGGACCTAATACAGATAGTTTAAAGCATTATTCCAATGCTGTTTTGTAGATCAAATAAAGAAAGGCACTCGGTTCTGATTATTAATGGATTTGAGAGATGCTGGCAAACATTCAATATCTTCTAATTTTTAATGGTCTTGAGGATTTTAATCTAAATTTGTTTCAATATCAGATTACTGAAGGTTGCATAATATATAAGAGGGAGTCCTGCCAGCCTCAATGCAAGCCATTCAAGCACTGGGTGGGCCCAGCAGGCCAGAGGCTGTCAGAATGGCCTAGAACTGAGAAAGGTTCTTCTTGGATGTCTCAGGGATTCTGAGCTTCCAAAGACTTTCACAGCAGTGATTATCTAGTCTTTTGGTATTTATTTATAACCTGGAGGATTCTCTTTCAGGTTTTGCTGTCCTCACACTGACCTAACACTGGGAGATCAAGGTCAATGAACACCTGGCTTAATTAGAAGCAGCAACAGTAAACACTATTGTGTCAAGGGCAGCCAGCCTTTCACATCCCTTCAAGAGTGATTTTCCTAGTATCCCAGTATACGAAATGAAATTACGACCACCCAACTAGTACGAACATGCTTATTTTCCTGGTACTATTAGCATTGGAATCCAGCCAGTGATACAGAAAGATCATCTCGCAAGCTCTGGCTCTTATTTCTGAGAGAGATCCTGAGGAAGATACCAAATTCAAAGTATTTGTTCCTTCCATTAGAAACTGTCCTGGTGGGTGTCCTCTATAGTCTTCACTTTTGCTTGTGACTTTCTGGCCCACCACTCTACCTTCCATTACCTCACCACCTTTAAATAGCACCCAAAGGGGCGTGCCAGCTCCAAACACAAATATGGCCATAGATACAGCTGGGAATAGATATGATTTAAGAAAATTAAACAAACAAGTAAATGAATAAATCAGAGTCCTTGATGCAACCAGACCCTGGTGCTGGGGCAAGATGCCTAGCACTGCCTAAGAAGTGGATTTAGAAATGAACAAAACAAGGTGAAGTCCGTGCCTTTGCAGGGAGGGACTCAGGGGAAACCCTTCACTCCAGTACAGAAACTGTAACATGACACTGTCTGTGAATGTATGACCTGGCTGAGAACTTAACCCCCTGTTCTCTTTGGCCTGTGATAAAGGATGGTGCAGAATGGGGGCTACATAGACTACCAGAGATTAAAATTTAAGGTGAGTAAGGAAGAGTGGCCTTCCTCTAAACTGTGACTATTTCACTAAAAATAAACCCACAGCACAAAGGTATCAGAGGCATCTCTACTCAATAGTCAAGCGGAAGACAGAGCCTCTCACTTCACAAAACAGCCACTGAGCATGCTCAGGGAGGCCCCAGGTGTGACCTCTGCTCCCCTGTGAGGAGCGGAGGGGCCAGGCAATCTATCATGGTGTTCATCCTGTCAGCCCTGGTGCTTCGCTGCCACTGTCTGTCACCCTGGGGATGAGACCTGCTTAAGGGCGATCATGTCAGTCTCTATGTGCCCACTCAGTCTAAGGCAGAAGGATGATCTGACAGGCCTGGCATAGTCAGCAGAAGGTACCAAGTGCTGAAGTCATAGCCTCCCCACAGAGATGCAATGTGGGCCTTTGCTTGCTTCTTTAGCTTTTCCTTTATTTTTGCTTTCCCTTTATCTTTCATTCTCATGACATGGGCTAAGGCATAGAGAACTTGCCTTCAGAGCTGGTCATCTCGGATAAACCTGTTGCCTTCTGAGTTTTTCCCGTAGTAAACATAGCGACACTTCCCCAGGACACCTACAAAGAAAAGAAAACACATGGTTACAGGGGGCCCAGGCAGGACAGCAAGGAAACATGGGCGCTGCAAAATAGAGATGCACCATGACCACAGATCCAGTGAGACTGCCAATGGATTAAACTCCAAAAGGGAAGAACTCTGCTTTATCTTCAGGGCTGACATTTGAATAAAATGACCCCAGAGCATAGGCACTTCAGAATAACATGTTTTCTGTGTGATTTCTCTTCCGTCTTTTAAAGGCTCTTCTAGTTTGCCAAGTACTCCTCAAAATCAAGCATGATTCTTTCCCTTTTTCTAGGTGTTTAGGCGAGTTTCTGAAATTGGAAAACTAAGAGTTCAAAGATGGGCCAAGCCCAAGCAAAAGATGTAAAACAACCTTCCCAGTCACAAATAGAATGTGACTATTTTCAAGTTCTTTATTGTGAATCAATATTGTTAACTTCCAGAGAGAATGCTCTAAATCCCAGGAGGCATCAAGCACATACGGAATGATTAAGGAAGAGTGGTGGTGTGGACCAAAGGCCACATGAAAAGTAAGAAGAGCCTTCGACATTAAATGGCTTCTTACAGGCACCCTGCACTATAGTCTCAGGTTGGAAGGCATTTGATTCTCATCTTCAGTTTTATTTTAAATAATTCTGTGACTCCATACACAGCTTTTCTTCCTTCAAGATTATAGAAGGACTTAAGTATGAAAAATTCCCCATGACTGGGGTCAAACCTTTTAATTAACTCAATATTTATTATCAGAATCCATAAGAAATCACCTCTATAGTTCTTATGGAAACTTAGTAGAATTATTAAGAAAAAATCAGTTTTTCAAAAACCATTCATAACAATTTTCTTTCTGTCATCTTATTTGCTTCTAATTTTTGAAAAACTAACTTAACAATTCAGTTTCCCAGAGTTTTTATTACTTATAGCACTCGAGTCCCTGAAGTGTGCGTAACCAGAAAAAAAAGAAATGTCCATAAAATATTAATTCATGAACCACAAAACTGCCTGTAAAAATAGCTGCTAATATGAATGATTTTTTTTCTGTCTGTTAATAGTATGAAACCAACAATCAGCATCTATTGTTCATTTGAGATAAATCACCACTTGAAATTATCCAGCTTCTTCACATCAGAAGTTCTAAGCAGTAAATATTTTCATGATTGTACAAGAGGTATTTCTCCACTACAGAACTATAAGCCTTAAATAAAGATTAAAAGTAACTCTTGGAGACTTTTAAGGACACAGCAGATGCTTCCTGGTTTGGATGGCTTGGGGCAAAGGTGGGATTGCTGGGGTCACAGAGTCTCCGAGTTGGCAATAGGAAGAAGATGACATTATCCCATGGCTTCAGAACTGCTCTTGGGCTTACTCTCTTTACTCCTATTTCCTGCCACATTCCCAGGAACCAGGTTCCTGTGGGCCACTCTTTCCCCTTGGCCATGCTTTCTCTTTGGCCCCTAAACCCCAGTTTCTGCTTTTCAGTATTTGTCTGCTGCCTGGAAACATTGAGCTTGGATGAAACCTCCCTGAGACCTTTCCTGAGCCTTACAGTATTCTTCTGGCTGTTGGCACCTAACTGCTCCCTTTATTGTGCTGAATTATCTATCACCTGTGGTGATACCAACACTGTCCCCAATGCTGGGAACTGTCTGTGGGACCACTGGTCAAGCTGCATTCCAGGAACAGCATCCCCTACAGGGTTGGGTGGGAGTGTCTCAGTGTTTCTGAAAATCCACAAAGGGCTTCCTTAAACATAGTTGATTCAAAGAACCCTCAAGAATCTAGAAGGATGAGCTGAGGGATGTTCATTTCTTTCTACAGCACCAGGGCAGCATGAGTTTCTACAAAAAGAAATGGATAGGGTTGTCAGGTATTACAAAGAATACAGTCTTCCTCTTGAGTGAAAGAATGAAGGGCAGAAACACACATGCACACATACACACACACACATACACACACATACAGACAGGCACATGCACACCACCAGACCAGTGGACACACTCTCTCCTGTAAACTCGCCAGAGCATTCAGGGAGTGGATTTCTCTCTCTACGCTCTCTCTATAGTAAACTTCAAGTCCAGATCTTGCCTGGGTGCAACTCGGATGGCAAGTGCCATCCTGGAAACAGACTGCAAATTCCTGGAACGTGCGCTGTACTGTGGAGGGAGGTGAAGTGTTCTGAGCCACATTTCCAGGCCTTCTTTCTGGTCGGCGCTGATAAAAGTCCTTTTTAAGACCTGCCCTATTCCTTTGGGCCTGCAAGCAAGAATGTTTATAGACATCCTGGTGAGAGAGGGCTGTTTGATGAATGCAGGAGACTCTGGTGAGGTGTCAGAGCTTGGAGAATGAGGCCAGGACATGAGGTATTAATATTGTCAATGATCTCTTGACGGGAAAACAGATAGTGTGCTCGCCGTCAGATGTAAATAGACATCAAGTGCACTGATGACAAAGGGCAGACTTCAAACAAAGGGGCTGTGTGGTAGGGAGCAGAGCTAGTCTCTGTGCTGGCAAGAACCTGATCTGAAAAGACGCTGTCAGGGCTAGAGACAGACCCAGGATTGTGTGCGGTGACAGAAAACAGAGATGCTGACAGAGATAGCGGTGCCATATTATGCCAAGGAAATTCTAACACTGTCTGCTGCTCTAACAAAAGCTGACATCACTCCCTATCACTTGGGGTCTTCTCTGCCTGCTCCGGCAGAACATTTCTCCCCAGATGTCACTACAAAACCCGCCGGTGTTGTGAAGCTCCTGGCAGCCCTGCTCTGGCTGTGCACTGGGGTCGCAGGGCCCAGAGAGAGCCTCGGCGGATCTAAGTTTGCACTTTGCAGGAGGAGCGCGCTCTCCCCCCTGCTAAGGTGGCTGCTTGAGGTGAGCCGGGTGCCAACGTGTGAGGAGCTGTCACCTTGGATAAAACCCTTAGAGGGAAGGCACTCAGTCTGCGGGCTGCTCCAGTGAGGGGCAGGGACAGCCTGGCAGCTGCAAATGAAATCCAGCTGCTGCTGCTCTCTTGGGGGTGGGGAGGGAGAAAGGTGGTCTGGCTAGTGACAGTGAAAACCGGCTGAAATTTTGGAACTCGAACTACGAATTCCTTAAATTAAGCAAGTGTTGCCTTTGTTGAGACTTGTACCCAAGCTCACAGTTGGGAAGTGATTATCCTCCAAATAGGACTTTAATGTTCAAAAAATAAATAACATTAACGAGCAATGAAAAAAAAAACCTACAGTCCCATGTATGGCCATCGGGCTTAATTTATCATGATGGATGTTTGTAAAATAATGGGATCAGGTCATAAATTAAGCGAGATGGCGACATGTTTTTCTCTTCCTTGTCTCCCTATGGCCCTCTTTCTCCCATCAAGGCAACTGCCATACACTGTGAAAATTACAGAGGGAACAGTTTGCTTGCAGAGAACATTTTGACGGGGAGGCACTCTGAGGCTGAAATTTGGGAACCCGCTGGTTGGTGACTCAGTAGGCGGTGGTTTCAGTGTACATCTGCAATGCATTCACTTGTTTGTATCTCCTTGAACTATAATGTCTTGGGACTGGAGGGGGAACAACACGTTTAATGGCATATGTAGTGTTTTTAATTAAAATATCTGGCTTCGGCCATAATAAGTGGAGCAGGCTTGCCATGCATCAGGCCAACGTGTAGCTGTCTGTGCAAGGGTTTCTTTTCGGGGGCCCTGAAAAATGACAGTGTGCTGTCCCCTGGGGAATCTTCTCTTGCCAAATGAGACTCCTAATTTTTCTTAAGTAGCCAGCTCTCCCAGCACCATAATCTCTTAAAACTATAATAATGAAAAAAATGTATTGGGAAGAATCTGTGTTAAAGAGGTCCTTTACCTTTTAAATGTTTCCCCCCTCTGAAATGGATGTTCTAATTATGCAGGTTAAGTTATGACCTTGGGGCTGCCTGGGTGGGGGGTGGGGGTGGGAATCAGCCTCTTTTCTTGACTGCAGGGCTGCGAGGGCAGGGGCAGTACCAGACTTGGCCAGGGAAAACCCTGACTACCCTGAGAAGGAAGTCCTTGCCCACTCAGGCAGAGCACAGCAGATGTCCCCGGACTCCCTCATACACTGGATGGCCTCCCACCACCCATCACATTCCTGCCATCTATTTAGTAAGGGAAGATGCGAGAGGGGCTGTTTTGAAATCCAGCCCTGCTCCTAATGGTTATGTGACCATGTACATGTCACTCTCCCACACTGGGCTGGTTTCCCTACTTGTAAAACGAAGGCAAGGGGCCAGATAATTTTAGAAGTTCATTTTAGTTCTGAAATAGACAATTTTAATATTTTCAAACATTTCCTTTATGAAAATAAGGATGTCAAGTCCAATATTACCTGATGGAGAAGGCAAATCCAATGGTCAGTTAACCAAAAACTTGATTCGGACCAAGCCAGCCCATATTCCCATAACAGGTACCTCAAAGTCCTGGAGGAAAGATTCCCACTAACTTTTCTACAACCTGTATTTCCTACTCAGAGCTGGGAAGTGCTAACAACTAATAGCTTACATCCCACTAGTTTTGACATAAGCTTCAGTTTCATTAACTCCATATTCAACAGAACTCAAGGCTAAATATCAGTGTAAGTGGTCTGCCATTTATATTTTATTTGTGAAGGAATAATAATGTTGACATACACAAATACGAAACTTGTTTATGATGGAGTACAGGTTGGAGCCACAAATTCGTATTTGCAAAATAGAGAAAGTAAAGTATCGGTTTTATTAACATTATTTATGTTTGTTTTGGTAAGTATTTTAAATGCTATTATCACAGATATTTTTAAATGTAGCTGTGTACTGACAGACTTTGATCTGTTTGTAATCACTAGGAACTTGGGATTAGCTCTACAAAACAGGCAAGAGACAGCCCCTCCTGGAACTCCCGTTCTCTAATCCTCATGAGTGAAGGAAGGAACTAGTCTCTGCATGGCCTCTGAAAGAAGAGAACACAGTGTTGTGAAGACGTGGTGGGCCCAGTGACAGA